TGTCTCAAGATATCAATTTCTGATTGGATAATTGTGTACGATGGAAATTGTTCCTCTACTTGTACAACCATTTGTTTATGGCTCCTCTTCAATGTTATTTTTTAACATTCGTCTCCTATTGCGTTGTTAGTAGCTATTTAAAGGGAATTTTATCTAAATTAGGATACTTTGCATCAACATCTTTCATTTATTCTTGAAAGTTTAATATCATTGGAATCATAGTGAGTTTTACTGCCATTTTTATTATGTTTACCTAGTCTTAATTTGAGTATCTTTATAAACAGCCATTCAAGTGAAATAGTTTACTCAAAGTCCAACTTAAGTATGATGGGACCCACGACTTGCTATAGTAGTCCAAAGGTTTGCTTACGTACTCTAAAAAAACTGGAGCTAGGTCAATATTTCTGTTGCCAAGGTCTATGTAGCGCTCGAAATAAGCTTCGATATCACATGCCAGCTGTGTGTTTGTCTGATTTCGGAAGTCACGTCAAAACGTATTGTACTGGAAATCCACTTTGATTTCAAGCTTGGAGTTGTCTCCCAATTAATGGTAAGGCCACTTTCGATCCACCACTGTTTTAACGGGGAGCTGGATTCGTGTTGAAATCGACCCCTTCATTGCAATACTTTACTAAAAGATAGGTGGCGACCTTAGAACTATTTAAACTACAGCCTTTTTGTTTATTCCACCATCATGTTATTCATCGAGATTTTTACTAACTTGATGAATGGTAGCTGTTCAGGTTGAGCTGTGCACGATTGCGAAATCACATCCTTGCACGACTATTCTCCTCTGCGAGCCAATTCGCAGGTTCTATCAATTTTCCAATGGTTTGCGTATAGTCACATCTATGTAATCTTGTTGCTCAATCTGAAATCATTTTTCTAGAATCGTAGAGCTTTAATGGCTATGGGGCAATGTTTATAAGTAGCATTTCACACATTTTGACCTTACCGCTGTTTTAAACTTTCCGTAGCCTCACGTGTCCCCATATCAATGTTGATGTTTTTTTTAACTTTGACAACTAGTCTCTGCAACTTATTCTAGTTCCGATATTTCTTCCAATCCACTGACTTTGTTTCAAAAATCTGTAGTTTTGTGAACTGGCTAGGATATGTCCTTTTCAGTCTTCGATATTGCTTGTTGTCTCGTCAACGAATTAATGATGAGGTCCTTCGTCTCAAAGTCAATTTTTTTATCAATAACTTTTTCGCCAAGGCTATCCTGAAATGCGGTCTTTTTAGGACGTCTTGGTTTTAGGCTTACCCTTATGCACGTGGTGTGGTGTGGTGGGTACCCTGGTTTTTTTGAGGGTAAACATTTGTGTCCTTTGGAAAGTACAAATCTGACTAATTATGGAGGTGGCTCACTTTAAAGGGGACTTTTATGATTGCGAAGGTAGAGGGCGCATTTTAGGGTGCACGGACTGAGTCTGTTTGACATATTTTCTAGTATTTTTATACTATCATTCTAGTATTTGAAAATAGCACATCGAATGCTTTGTTGCAGAGGTATTTGTTAGTACAGCCGAACCGTTGTACCGTCACCACTTTCGGTGTTCCTCCTGATATTGTTCGAGCGAGCATTTTATCGCGCTTGGCGATAGGCGCGAATTCTTGGTCTTTTCAAAATACCTCCAACTTGTTCCGATTTCTGATCTCACTATGCGGGTTCAAAGTGAAACGTTGTCTCGGTGTTTAGAGTTTTGCTATTATGAATTTTCATGGATGATTTTATTATCTGGGCGATTTCACAGTTGTTTGTGTTCACACGATGCCTAAGTTGGTGCAGGAATTGTTGGTATTATTTTTTGGCTTAAAACGGAGTCTTCGTTACGATTTGGTTTTTCCTTGGCATACATCGGATTATGAAACATTCAAGTCCTTCTCGGGGCACTTCATCGCCACATTGTTAAGTCCACGCACTTACAAACATCGCCACCTTTAAAAATTAGCTCGCAGGTATTTGTACTTTGCAAGTCTGTGTCCTCTTGTGGTTCGCTTACGCGACATTGCTTTATTGTACGAACCTGGGTTGGTTTCCGTCCTCTACGAGCTTCATAGACCATTTTTTGTGTCATTTTCTCGGTCCCATTGGGTCAGGTGGTTTAAAAACCCTTTAGTTTTGAAGAGTTAGCATTTGGTCATTTTTGCTTCAGCTGCACACTGCCTCCTGCTGTTGGCACAGGTGACAACCCTTAATGTGGCCTTCAATTCACAAAATCGCTCCCTTCTTACTGTGATCATCTCCAACAACGTGAGTTCTATCGTTCCTTGTACTTCGTCCTATCGTTAAACTCATTAAGTCTTTAAACTGGTTTTGCAAGTGATGTCCCTTGATTGCTTGTAATAACGTTAGTTCAAAGCCATGAACCGTCTACCTTTAATCATCCAGTTAGTTTTTTAATTAATATGCTACCGATTGCATTAACATTTATTTGTGCCCTGTATTGACGATTCCTTGCGTTCGTTTTGAACTGTTGGAAATCTACAAATCACCTCGGTATTTAGAGATAAAAACATTAATAGAGTAAAAGGGCCTGAATTTTGTTTACCACGCGTTACTGTGAACCCATTGGAAGCGTAGCGTGCGACCTCTTTGGAAGCCTTCCCTTCGTTGGAACGGTCTTGGTTGAAAGGGTTAAATTTCATGAGTTCACGCTCCCACCTAACTTTAAATCCTAAATTCATTCTTGAGCTGGATTTGTTAACTACTTCTTTTTTGCTCAACAGAGAATTCTAGTCCCTTTACTTTTTTATTTCAAGACTATTGAAGTCCGCACTCCTTGTTGGGTCCAACAATCCCTTGAGTAATTCGAGTTTTTCGTCCACTAAACTCCTTTTTTTCTCTTCAATGCTGCAGGTCGATTGAGGCCACATTTGGTAATTCGTTGGGATTTGATATTTTGTTCCTGCAAACCAGTTTTGTACATGTTGGTATCTGTCTCCCCTAGCTGTGCCGGTTGTTGGTTTTAGCATTAAGGGATAAGTTAGCTGTTTCAGAATAAATGACAAAGCTGTATTATAACTTATTTTACTCCGTCTATATTACCATCGTATCCTTGGAATTGAATCCATTTTAGTGGATAGATTGTTGTCACTAGAAAAAATAGTAGTGTGTTAAGGTTGTTTCGTGTTCAGATGCAACGTCATAATCCATCCCATTCCAAGTCGATTGCCCAGCACTCACTTTGTGCGTTGGAGCAAATAGTGGCACCTTGAAGTGTTTCATACGGAACAGTTTTAGATCTTGATGATAAATTTGAGGCATTAGAAGCATTGGTAGATGCAGTTCTGT